GAAATGACCCAGAGCTGTGTAAGCATAACGTATGACCCCCTTTTAAGAAGTGATCAACAGGGAAATGGTATGGCCATTCCTCAAAACTCAGAATTACCATATGATTCGGGAACTCCACTACTGGACATATACCTAAAAGGACTGAAAGCAGGATGTCAAAGAGATATCTGTACACACAAGTTCATAGCAGCGCTATTCACAATAGCCAAAAGGCAGAAGCAACCCAAGTATCCGTGCTCGTCAACAGATGAATGGATAAACAAAATGTGGACTACACACACAATGGAACACTATTCGGCCTTGGAAAGGAAGGAAATTCTGGTAAATTCTATGACATGCTCAGGGCTGAAGAGAGTGGGGGAGGGGAAAGGGAAGTCATTGCTTAATGGGTATGGAGTTATAGTTTGGGATGATGGAAAAGTTCTGAAAATGGAGAGTGGTGTGGATTGCCCAATAATGTGAATGTATTTAATGCCACCGAACTACACACTTAAAAATGGTTAAAATAGTGCCGTGGTTTGAATGTGTCCCCTCCAAAATTCAGGTGTTGAAACTTCATGGCCAATGTTGTTAGAGGCAAGGACCCTCAAAGACCCTCAACTCCCCTATGACTCGTCCTACGCACGGACTTCGCCCTGGAAAATTCCAGCTATAGCTCCGAGAAGAATGCATTCCATAACGTGCTGACCACGAGATGTTCCAGGGAGTGCTGACTGCAATTGTTCCCGACCACCTGCCAGGTTGGAAATGAGTAACCAGTCAAAGACAGGATACCGATAAGACGCTGATTGAGGCTGATTAACCCAGACCCAAGCCTCATCGTTGCCCCACTCTATTTTTTGTTTCTACTTCCTTGTTTCTGTATGCTTATAAAACCTACTAAGAATCTAAGTAAAGCAGACCTTGACAACCATTTGCTTGGTCTCGTTCCTTTCTCTTGCCCATCTCTTTCAGGCAAGGTCCCCCTTGACCCCCGCGAGTAACAGAAGGTCCCGCGGGTCGGGACAAATGTGGTAATATTAAGAGGTGGGACCTAACAAGGTAATTAGGCCACAAGGGCTCCTCCCTCGTGAATGGCATTGAGCCCCTTATTTATAAAAGAGGCTTCACAAAGCATCCAGCTGGCTTGTCCTTCTTCCTCCCACCGAGTGAGGACACGGCACTCCTCCCCTCCAGAGGATGCGCCAAAAAGGTGCACCATGGAAGCAGACAGCAGCCCTCATGAGACTCCGAACCTGGCAGAGCCTTGATCTTGGACTTCCCAGCCCCCAGAACTGTGAGAACATAATTTCTATTTTTACAAGTTATCCAGTCTATGGTATTTAGTTATAACAGCACAAAAAGACTAAGAAAAATGGTCAATTTTATGTTAAGCATATTTTACAAAAAAAAATAATAAAAAATAACCACAAGGATAGAGGTTTCAGCTAGTTCAAATAAGCTAATAGGATATTTAAAAAGAGGACTCAACCAGAAACCCACACCCTTCATCTTTCTCCTCCTGGAAAAGGTAGGTGACAGCACCAGGCATAAGGAGAGGCAGAAGAGCCCCCACAAGGCAAGACAGTGACTTGCAGGCTTCTGCAAGAGAAGAGGCCAATTCCTCCTGTGCCCACTCAGGCCAAAGAGGGGACAAAGAACATGGGAAGGAGCAGCAAGTGGTGCAGGCCCGTCCTACAAATGTCTCTCCAGTGACACCTTACTAAATGCCATCTATTCCTGGCAAATGGGGGTGTCTCAAAATGTGGGTTTCTTTCCCACCACCAATTGACAAATGTTGCATACTTCCTGGAATTTTAAAATTAGAATTCCTTGTATTTCAGAAATAATTTCTGGAAAACACAACCCTTTGATAATGCCCTCTGTTTCCACAGTGTTGAAGATGCAGGTCCACGCACAGGTCAAACTCTCCTCAGTAACTCTCTCCCATTGTGCTTGTCTGAACCAGAAATTTACATTCTATTAGAGGCCCAGCCAAGCCCTAAAAGTCCTCACATTGTTTCTGAGTCACTACAATCACTTCCTTATCCCTCCCTCTGCTCCTAAAGTCTTCAGACTCCTATGCAGGTGACCCTAGCTGGTCCTGGGAGTCTCTTGTGAATACTAGTGTCACTGGGCCACCACTCACTACTGGTTCACCAGCCCCCAGGGTAGATGGTGAAGGACCTTGGAACTTGCAAGGGAGTCTCCGCAGATATCTTGGCTTTCCTCTTCTTCGGTCTCATCACTTTTAGATGTCACATCTCCCACTTATTTAGGCATTTGTGTGTTTGTGGCTGCACTTAGGTGAATATTCATGACTCCCTGCTGTGCACAGAACACCTCAGAACCAGAACAGGGCACAGGACAAGCTGAAAGCAAATGGCTCTGGAAATGCAGCACTCGGGGAAGTCACACTTGCCAGGATGTCCCCTGGTCAGAGGACAGAGGGTAGGATGTGTGTCTGTCCTTGAACCTTCCTCACACAGGCCTATTGTGCACCCCCAGCCAGTAAGTGTCTTTGAGCAAGAACAATGTCATACATGTCTTTTCACAAAGGCTCCAAATGGAGACTCCAATGCTCAGCTGAGTTCTGTGGTGGACTGCGTGTCCCAGAGAGCCCACTCCACACACTCTTATGACCATGCCACCCTCCTCATGCTGACAGCCGGAGTCTCTGTTCCCTCCTTTGAGCATGAGGATGGGGTTGTGACTACCCCAACCAATGGGACGAGGTGGATGTGATGCTATGTGACTTCCCAGAATGGGGCGCAGAAAGAAGGCAACTCCCACCTGGTTCTCTCTCTCCGCAATATTCACTCTAAGAAGGCAACCACCGTGCTGGGAGGAAACCAAAGGGCCCACGTGGCCAGGAGCAGAGGACCCTCGAGAGCCAGCATCTCCCACCAGCCACACACATGAACGAGTCTGCAGAGGCCCAGCCCTCCAGCCTCCCAGCGGAGGCTCCAGACTCTGTGAAGCAGAGACGAGCCACATGCACTGCCTTTTGCATACCCCGGACCCACAGGATACACACGCATGATAGACGGTAGCTTAGTCACACTAGGCAACCATAGGAATGGCAACAGGTCCACAAATGTGGCTACAGGATGAGCCACTCCAAAGCTCCAACCTCTCTAAAACACACTTGTCAACAGCCCCACTTCCTTCTTTGTACAGCTGAGACTTGGTGTGGATGGATTCTGGGGCCTGCCCTGGTCTCTTTCCAGAAGCTACTAACGCCCACCAGTGTGGTGGCCACTGCTTTGAAAGTCCCAGCACCTTTACTGCCAGCCTTCTCCATGCCTGGTGCAGGCTTGGGGCTTTCTGCCTGTGATCTGCACTCTTCACAGCAACCCTTGCAATAGGTATTTTTAGGTACGCAGTGAGAGAGGATAAAAATGTTAGGGAATTTGCCCAAGACAGATTTGCCAGCTGATGCAGAGCCCAAGCAAGTGACTTGTCCCAAACCACTCAGCTGCTAAGACACAGAGCTGAAGATGCAAACCACGTGACACTGTACCCTTGACAGCCACTGTCCATCGTCCAGCTGGTTTCTCCACAAAGCATGAAATGCCTTGGCCAGAGAGAGGCGGAAGCCCACACCATGGACAAGTTTGAGGATTCCGAGGTGAAACTTCTCTCCATCTTCCCAAATTGTAACTCCGAAGAGGCGTCAGGGCCCTCTGTGCTCATTCGAGAAGTGCCCTCCTTACGCCCAGTGGAAATGGACATCCCACCTCTGAAGACACAGGGTCACAGAGGAGAATCTGATCAAATAGACCATGTTTGTTAAGCATCTGCCCCCCTAGTTTATTACCATTAGCTCATACCCGCTTTGTCCAATCATACTTCTCCACAACCGTCCACTTCTCCATCAGACTAGCTTAAAAAATACACAGCTTTCCCTGTTTCTGTGGGCCTTCATATGAAGGCTCCAGTACCATGTAAAACTTACATGAAATAAATGTGCATGCTTTTCTCTTGTTAACCTGTCTTGTGTACGAAGCCTCAGCCATGAACCGAGGGATGGGCTAGGAAAAGACATTTTTTCCCCCTGCACAATTGTGAGCTTCTCTTGAGCAGCTTTCCTCCCCAGGTCTCCAGGAATGTCCCGCACAATCACCTTCCCTTCTACGTGCTCATTCCCAGGGGCTCAAATCCACGCCTGCCCTCATCCTGCTCCCTACAGCTTTCTAGGTCCCAGGGATTGCCTATTATTGCACAACTCAGACTTAAACTGAAACCACACACACCTGTTACAAGCATTGTTACGAGGCCGACTTGTTTTGAAATCAGGTAACTCTGGATTGTTTGTCGAAAGCTGACCCAAATGTCCCCGAGCCCCAAGCATATGTCCAGAGGGTGGCATGTTGGAGATGCCGTGAGCACAGTTCGCATAAGATTGAGGGACCCTGCTTACCACCCCTCCATGGCACTGGTTCCTACTTTAATTAATTTAACATCTCAATGCATCATGACACATGCGAAGTGGAAAAGGCTGATGCTAGCACGAGACACAAACATTTTTCATAAACATGATGCCATTGAGTCAAAGGCAGAAATCATGAAGCAAGACAAAAACTGACCTTTTCGCATTGTCAGATGTTGCAGGACAGAAGAGAGAGGCCCCACATGGATCGGGGCCAGGAACCACACAACCAACCCTTGTCCAGGTTTCTCTAACTGGCAGGGACGCAGGACATCCCTGCTTTGGGTTCTCACTCTTGGAAAGCGAAAACATGACCCAGAAGTCACTTCTGTGTCCCTGCCCCAGAGCATCCCATTTTTTTGTTTTAAAAGAAATATGTTCCCTGCCATCACTTTTATGCAAAGACCTTATTTCTCCAAATAGTGATATACACTCTTGCCAATTAAGCAACTAGAACAATTTCATCTGGGACAGTGACATCATGGTAGAGCAGCCACTAAAATTAGGCTCAAAAACCTGAGATTCAAGCAAACCCAAAGCTATAAATTATAAGGATATTTCTTAAAAGAAAAAAAACGTAAAGTTTTACCTGTGGCTATACCGAATGGCTATCGTCAACCCAAGCTGTAATTAAAAAGAGAGAGAAGCAAATTAAATAATATCAAGAATATGCTGAATTCATAAGAAAATTAACTTAACATGGTCAATTGTTTTTTAAACATTTCCTAAAATGCCCTCTTGCTACTGCATCATAAATAACACATTTTAATGACAGATCTTTAGTTTCAACTTAGCTCTTAAAGGATAATCGTATTTTGAAACGGTCTTAAAGAGACATAAAACATTTCATTGTGGATTAGACAGAAGGTGTCCCTCACCAGAAAAGAGTCCAAAACAGGGCTCTTTTAGCTCTTGAGACACAGCCGTGAAAGGATGGGATTGTCGTGTGCGGCTGATTCCAAGGCTGGCATTAGGACAACGTAACCACGCAGCGTCCTGGGAGCCAGTTCCCTCTTTACCCCCACCCCAGGAGCACCAGGTGGACTGGCCACCTGCACCAGAGTCTCCCTGCAGGGATCTGCACAGCCTTCATATGGACCCCGTAAGCTCAGGGCCAGCCAGCCTCAGCTCTGAGGACAGCAAAGAAATAGAGCCTGACATTCACGTGTGACATCAAGAGGTCGTGCACAAGACTGCTGGGCACAGCAACAAGTGGAGGTTGAGATGAAACTGTGATTTCCTCTTTTCTCTGCAGGGTTGTCAGGAAGACCTCTCGGGCATAAGTGGGGGCCTCGGCTGCACATCCTATGATGAATGCAGCCAAGTTCAGCTGCATCAGCAAGGTATTGAAATGCTCAGGGCCTCAATTTTCCCAACTGTAAAATGGGCAAAATAACTATTTTCTCACAGGATTAATGTAAGGATGAAGCAAGTTTTCTATGTTTGTGTATTTGTGTCTGAGTATGTGTATGTATGTGTGTGCCTACTGCCTAGCAGGAAAAACTCTATAAATAACACAGACCACGACTAGCCCTACAGATAGGCAACATCTCATGTAGGACAATGTTGGTACATTCCAAAATTTAATTTCTAAATTCGTTTTGACAACTTTGAAGACATTTCATCGCGTAACAAGCCATGGTTGGTGTCAGGCACGCCTGTGTAAGTCTCATTCACCCACGTGTGCCCGACTAGATGGCGTGACTCGTTTTAAGAGGCTCACAACAGTTAAGAAGCTAAGTGTCATCGATAATATCATCTCAGGTGTGGAAAGTCTGACAAAGTTGCACCTTAAGGTCCCCAAACATCATTTGTGGTTCCCTTGATGTTGGCCCCAGTGGGGTTGGGGGTGGGGAGGTGACTTCCACGGTGCTGTCACAGGTGGTTGCAAGATGACACAAGGGTGGGTCCCCAGGCAGTGGGAGGGTGGAGGCAGTGGGCAAGAGCCAGAGGGAGGGAGAGCTATGAGAAGCAGAACAGTCTGAATAAGAAATCCCAGCGCCGCTGTGCAGCTCGACACACTGCAGAGCCCCCCAGACCTGTTCAAATAGCTGGACTCCAGCATGACGCAGCCGTGTGCCACCACAGCTGGCGTCCCGAGTCCAGAACCCACGATGGGGAACCTCCAGGAATCAGAGCGGAGAAGGCCCCGGTTCACAAAAAGAATCTCTAAACGTGGAGGCATGAAATGGATAACATCAAGCTGATTTCATATCACACTCACCTGAATTAACCCCATTATCTATCTCAACTCCACTAGGAGTATATTTTCTTTTGAAACTTAAGCAAACAGAAGAGGAAGATGCCTCAGGGATAATTAAGAATTTAAAGAACAAGGAGGAAATTACTTGGGGAAAGAGAGAAAAGCAGCAACTATAGCCAGAAGGTCAGGATGAGCAATTTACGGATTTCACATGCCGGGTAACTTTATATTTCCCGGGATTAAAAAGTTCTGGTTTAGAGTTAGGCTAATCATGAGACAATTTTACTGACTGACGATTGTGATAAGCTTTGGAGCACAGCTGAACTGGTGGCTTTTGCAGTCGAAAGATAAGTCCTTGCTGGAGTAAGGAGAGGAAATGGGGCGGGAGTGAGAACAACAACAACAATAATACACAAACAAAACAAAAAAACTGAGAAAGTGGCTCCACGGCAACTGTTCTGGGTAAAGGAGGCCCCAAAGACGGATCTCTCACAAACGTGAATTTCAATGGAGAGTTTTTATTAGTCTTTTCCTGGCTTCCGAATCAAATACATTTCACTGTCATTCTTAAAAGGACACCCTGGTTAGGGAAGAAAGTGTGAATCACGGAAATGCCAGGGGACAGGGCTGGCTCCCACAGAAGGCCAGGCCAGCCACAGCTCCCTGCAGGCCTCTGCGTGAACAGGCTGCTGGAGGGAACAGGACGGTCAGGACAGATGCAAGATCTCGAACTATGTGAGAACCAACTTAAGGGGTGGACAGGAACAGGGTATTTCAGTCATTGTGGAAACCGGGCCGAATGCACTGGATCCAATTCAGGCAGCCCTGCAAAAGGGCTGGAACCACGTGGAAGAGTTTGTGCAGATCTCACCTTGAAACCCCAGGTTGGAACAGGCCAGTGAGGCAAGGTTGGCAAGTGAGCTGTGTAAGGAGCATCCTTATATAAATACACTCATCCGCACTGAGACAAGTGCATGCACACACACACATGCACTCTCATAGTGCATTGTGTGTGCGCTTATTTACATATGCATGCACATGCATGCACATGCTTGCACAATACTCACATGTGCACATGCGTGCATGTACCACAACATGTGCACACATGTACACATATACACACTCCTACAGATGTGCATACACACACCCACGTGCATGGATACACTTTGGCACTCAGAGAGGCCCAGGGAGCCCCTTAAACAAAGGGAGGCCTCAGACAATTGACCCCTTTGTTGCTGGGCTCAGCAAGGTCCCAGAGGGGAGAGGGGAGGGAGGCCCGAGGGTTGGCCCCTGACCCCAGCCCAGCCAGGCTGAGGCCCAGGGACATGGAGGTCAGCGGGAGTTCTGTGCTGCCCTCCTTGGGGAACACCCCCACAGGACATACTGTAAGTATTGCCAGAACGCACTTAAACTCCATTCCGAGTACTTCTTTTTAGATTTACACAATTTGTTAGTAACAAAATTAAATCACATTTTAATGGCAAGGAAAAAGTAATTCAACATTTTTCAAAACCTCCACCAGCTCCAAAAACCTTTTTCCTGCTGCCTTGGGCCTGAAAATGCTCCTTTTTTGGAACAGCTGAGCGAGGCAGCTGTTTTGTATCAAGTCGGAGGGGTTTCTATATGACCCGGGGAGCTCAGACAACAGGCAGACCTTCCTGCATTAGAGGGTAATCTGAGAATAATTTGCCATAAAACACCCAGAAGTGCGCCAGCTGTAGCCGGATATGCCCTATAAAGCACCACGCAGACTGCATGGATCTTGTAAAATAATAATAATAATTTTTAAAAACACATTTTAAAACACATTATAAATTTAAAAAAAAAAAAAGAGAGAGGAATGGTTTACGCTATCTTAGAACGCAGCCGGGAAATTCCCTTACGTGTCTACGGATTGCCACTACGCGAGTCTTCCCGAATGCCCACTCGACCAAGGGTCCCCGTGTCGTTGGGAATCGGTTCTTTACCGTGTACTGCGCACTGTGTTTCACATTTAAGATGTGTTCTCTCACACACACTGCTGCCAGGCGCAAGTGAAGAGGAAGAGTCCGGTAAGCGTGGCCCCAAATCACCCAGCTCTGAGTCTGAGTCCAGAACTTTCTTAACCCGGGGCAGCAGCACACTCCGGGGCCCCCAGCCCGTGCTGAGGGGCCGACACCAGGAGCCAGACCCTTTTACGACCAAGCATCCACTGCCTCGGTCACTAGCACTCCCGATTCCACAAGGAAAGCTGGAAACCAGGGGTTTTATTATGAGACTCCCACATTTTAAATTAATTTGAATATTTTTCAAATACTATTCAAGCCAAACAAAACATGTCAGTGGGATTTGGCCAGGGGGCCACCCGCCTGCAACCTGCTTCGCACCCTGCCTGCTGCCAAGCTTCCACTCGGGTCCTCACAGCGTCAGGTCGGGATCCACGTGTCGGGGACAAATCAGAAAGCCCTGGGCGTTACTGTGAGGCTTCCCTCCCTCTGCAGTGCTTACGTGCAGCTGTCTCTTTACTTTCTCTTTCTATGGCAAGGGCCTAAAGAATTACAACAGCACAAAATAAACTCAAAAAGAAATTTTATTATTTGTTTTCCTGCTGCATTTTTTTTTTTACTATTCCTTTTCCCACCTTTTATAGAAAATATGAAGGGAGCAGAGGAGGCATGAAATGGACAGAACGCCGCTCAAACAGAGCCCTGGCACGGAGAGAATCTCGCAGGGACGTTGCCAAGGCGTGGGCAGAATCTCACACAAACAGAGCCCTGACATGCTGGCAGCTAGGCGGGGTGGGCAGGGAGAAAGTGATCCACAGAACAGATTTCTTTAACCTTCCCCCCGCTCTTCTTCTAGCACTGCTCTCCCCTGATAACCACTGGGACCCCATGCTATGTCCACACCCCACCAGGGCTGCTCTTCCCCAAGAATCACCCCAGGTCCTAGTCACTGCCTGACTCTCAAACCCCATGACACCCTCCAGGGCTCCCAGGCTTCTGCCCTGAGGTCTTCCTGGGGCCTTAGCACTTGCTGCTTCCACTGATAAGCTAACTGCACTGAGCTAAGAGACACTCTAGCCAGTAGCCAGAAGCCTTGCAGTCAAATCCCCTGACCTTTGCAGCCGCTGTTTCCTCATTGTGAAGTGGGGATAATGCTACCTACTTCCAGGGTTGTTTTAGGCAGATTAACTTGGATCTCAAAGATGAGGGCCAGTAATGTCAGCCTGCCCTGGGAACCTGTGAGACATGCAAATGGTCAGGCCCTAACCCAGACCCACTGAATCGGCAACTGTGGTATTTCAGCTGGTCCCCCAGGGGTCAAGTTTGAGAATGAGATGTTGTATGGAAAGAACTTAGCAACATGCTTGGCACTGGAGAAGCTTTTATTAACTGCAAGATGATGATGATGATGATGATGATGATCATGCCAATACAGC